ATTGGACCAAATTTAATGGACGCGTAATTACATGAGTAAGAAACATCGATTGGCCTCCAAGACCGTGTGATTTAACACCGTTAGAATTTTTTCTACGGAAATTTTTGAAAAAAAGTCTACGCTAATAATCCAAACACTACTGACGAGCTGAAAAACAATATCACATCTGCCATTGATAAAATTGAATTCCAGTTATGTGAAAATGTAATGGAAAATTGGATCAAACGCATTGGTCTTGTGGAAAAAATCCTAGGAAAATACTTGAATGATATTGTCTTTCACAATTAATGTCATAAAGTAAATTTTGTGTTAAAATAAAAAAACTATACAAATTTCAAATACTTTGAATTTTATTTAAATTTAGAAATGTGACACTCAATTTGGATAACCCTTTATTTTGAAAAATAGTTATCTCAAATACAAAACATATAGGATGAGTTGTAATCAATTTTATAAAAAAATGTTTGAAATAAAATTTAGAAGACTAATTCAGCAATTTATATTATCTTGATCAAATAATTTTTCATAGTCGTTGACAATTTTTGATAGAATTAGGTAACAAGTTATTCCAAATGATCATTTATACTAATTAATACAACATTTTAAAAAACAGGATTTTCTGCACAAGATTTCCAATAATTTAAATAATTACATATTCTATATCAAGAATTTACGAGTTTAGCCTTTTTCTCTTAACAAAATTCAAACTACCACTGATATAAAAAATTCGTTGAAATAAATTTAAATTAAACTTTAAATGAATTATTCAAAACTTGTTCCATTTATTTTAAATAGCAAATACAGGTTAACATAGACGATAAAGCTTGTGTTACTCCACAGTTGCTTGAAATAGAATCCTCCAGGTCAAAAACTTTTCAAACTACTCAACATAGTCCATTCAAATACTTTGCATGTTTCCAAAGCCAACAAAATATACGTTTGAAAACTCGTAAAACTGGAACACTGCTTATAAATTTAACTTAAGTTTCATGATAGCATTAATTCTATGAAAAATAAATACTGAAAGGTAAACTATAGATACCGATGGTATCTGTTATCTATTTGTCTCAGATTATTTCATCATTTGATTGAAAGTCAGTAACCTATATCAAAGTTTATTTTTAATTCTTACATGAATGCAATTTGCTTTTATCATTTTTTGCAGACATCACCATCGACTGGCAAACTCAAACATTTAATCGTAGATGATACGAAGTAAACATTAACCTACATGTAGGATTTTTAAAATACAATACTTTGATTCTTTGATGAAAGAAAATGAAAAGAATGAAAAGAACACAATAGGGTGCTTTCTCCCCTTATTTCCTGAGTAAGGAAGAAGCCGTTCCTGGGAACAAGATTGCGGGCCCCCTTACCGATGGTGTATGAAGAACCCTAGGTGGTGTTGAAAAAATTTGCAAAAAAACCCCAACACATGAAAAAATTGCCAAAGCAAAAGGAAAGAACAGGAGGACTAAAGGGGAGTTACTGGAGCACAGTACCTCCACATCTCAAGAGGAATGGAAGCTTAGAGGTCGTGGAAGATCTAAAGCAGAAGTTCGAGAAGTTGAAAAGGTGGGGGGAGGGGGGTAAATTTTAAGTGTGATGACTGAGCAGAGGGGAAAGGATCTTTTGATCCGGTAAGGAATGCAGTTATGATAGTATAGGGTGGTTTGAAAAACGAGAAGATTTAGATAGGAGGAAGTGTGAGCAAAATAGCGAGAAATGAGGTTTTTAAGGGAGGATGGGCTCGATGTCGGGTTTCTCGTGGAATTTGGTGATGGGATATCGCATGTGTTCTAACACAATAGGGTGATTCTTTTCGCTTGTTTCTTGAATAAGGGAAAGCCGTTCCTGGGGGCAAGATCGCGGGCCCCCTTACCAGTGGTGTATGACGAATCCAGGGTGGTATTACCGAAAGGGAGTTGAAAAATTTATGTATGGTAGAAGAGGGGAAAAATTTTCGGAAAGACCCCAAACATGAGTGTTCTAACACAATAGGGTGCCAATCTTCAGTTGCTTTTAGGATGGCGGACCATGGAGAGAGCCACAAAGATAATTGTATTAATCATGTTTGTATACGCAGCGTTCAATGTATAGCGCCGAAAGTTTTTTATTTATCTCAGCAAGTAATAAACCCCTGAAACTGAAATTTTGTATCTAACAAGGAGAACTACCCAAGTGTTACACTCACTTATTAATGAAACTTTGCCAGCTTGTAGAGCTCGTCGAGCTGAACACGCCTATACCCCGTTTTGTGGGCAGACGACTAATTGTTTAAAAGATATTAATAATTAAAGTTAATTACTACTTTCATTGATAAGTATGCCAAACTTACACATACAATTCGCAATCTAGAGATCCACGGTTCAAATCCTTGGTTCCCAACATTTTTTTTTTAATGATAATTTGTCTCCTTTTGAATAACTATTACATAAAAATCATTATTAAAAAAAAAAGGAAAAAAAAGGAACCGAGGACCTTTAGATTACGAGTCATGTGTTTAACCATGGAGCAGATCCGTGACTTGCAATTTGAAGGTCCTCGGTTCAAATCCTTGGTTCCCAAAAAAATTTTTTTCTTTTTATGATAATTTTTATGTAATAGTTATTCAAAAAGAGACAAATTATCATTAAAAAAAAAAAAAAATGTTGGGAATCAAGGATTTGAACCGTGGATCTCTAGATTGCGAGTTGTATGTGTGAGTTTGTCATACTTCTCAATGAAAGTAGTAACTAACTTTAATTATTAATATCTTTTAAACAATTAGTCGTCTGCCCACAAAACGGGGTATAGGCGTGTTCTGCTCGACGAGCTCTACAAGCTGGCAAAGTTTCATTAATAAGTGAGTGTAACACTTGGGTAGTTCCCCTTCTAAGATCCACCCCTTCTACTCGTGGAGTTTGATGTTAGGATATTGCATGTGTTCTAACACAATAGAGTGCCAGCATTCGGTTACTTTGAACCTTCGGACGGCGAACCATGGAGAAAGCCACAAAGATAATTGTATTAATCACGTCAATACATGCAGCTTTCAATGTACATCGCCAAAATCGGTGGCACCCAAAATCCCGACAGCCAAAACTCCGTGTTCTTGGTTAGGTTAGGGTTAGAGTTAGGGTTTTTGGGCTGCCGGGATTTTGGAGTGGACCCCGCCAAAATATGTTTTATTAATATCTCAGAAACTAATAAATACCTGAAGCAGAAATTTTGTATCTAAAATCCACCCCTCCTACCCTTCTAAACGGCGCGTCGATCAACGACCAGACCCTTTCGAAACTGCAGCTTTCTTTAATTTTAATTTTTATCGCAATTAAAATGAATAATATTTTTCAGGAAATGAATGTTGAACCCTCGGACGACGGACCATGGAGAGAGCCACAAAGATAGTTGCATTAATCACGTCAGTACATGCAGCTTTTAATATACAACACCAAAATTTTCTGTATTAATACCTCAAAAAGTAATAAATACCTAAAGCAGAAATTTTATATCTAAAATCCATCCCTTCTACCCTACAACCTCTCCAAACTCCATGTCGATCAACTACCAGAGCCCTTCGAAATTGCAGCCTTCCCTAATTTTAACTCTTTTTATTTGTATCGCAATCAAAATGAACAATATTTTTCAGGAAATGAATGTTGCAAGTCAGCAATTTACGTCGTATTTAACGAAGTATAGAGAGGAATTATCAGAAAATGATATGATTTCTGCAAAACCAGTTGGACAAAGATAACGCTGTTGACTGTATTCTCGATCGATAACTTATCAACGAAACAGAGCGGATGTTATACGTATAATCAGCACATCGGTGCGCAGTGATATAATGTTTCCATTGCGAAGTATCCTTTATTCATATTTTTATCTTCGTATTTGATATGACTAATTCCATTTAAACTTCTTTTATTGATTATAACGAAGATTAATTTAGGTTCCCAGAATCATCTTATTCACTTTCTTCGATAGAAATATCGGGTATTGTTTTATATAAGTATCATTGGTGATTAACAGAACTGAAGATTAATTAAATGTTCAAAACAAATATGAGAAGTTAAAAAATTATTTTTAAAACGCAAAAAATATTATGCGGAAGAATTTATTTATTTAAAGATTCAAAAATTTGTCAAAGAAATTTAAATATTTCGTGATTAAAAATAATTATTGAAAAGAAAAATAGAGGAGTGGGTATATATATAGTATTTTTCACGAGAGAGTACTAGTATCGGATGAACGAATTTTGGTTTCGTCTGCGCATGTTGGCTCTGATTGGTTCTGCCACGCTCCGCTGCCAAGGTAACGCGCAAGCGCCGTACGGCCGTATGTCGTAAGCCATGCTGGACAGGGGGTATATCGGGTGATTAGAAATTTGTGAATTATTCACTACCTCTGTCCTATAATAAGCCGTTCCTATATTAGTACATTTTGTCCACCGTGTATATGGCGGATGCAATGGGAAGTAAATCATGGTGGAGTAACGCTACTGGTGGGGGAACTTTCTGAGCTCACAAGGGAACATCGGGGACTGATACACTTCGATTTTGATAAGACTTTGCATAAATATTTATTAGACCTGTTTATGAAGATAACTGTAATTCGTTGGTGCCCGTTTTTCACTTTGAGGGAGATATCAACCCTTTTATCCGAACCGCCCTTTCTATATACGTGCTTATAAATCGTAAACAACAAAAGATATAAAAAAATAGTTGAAATAAAAGTTATACCGTTTCTTGAGGTCTATAAAGCTGCGTGTAAGTTTTTTTTTTAAATCATCCTCTTTGCAAAATTGAATTCCCCTTCCCCCTCCGTTTTGAAAAATTTTACGCAGTTTTATAGACCTCAAGAAACGATATAACTTTTATTTCAACTATTTTTTGATATCTTTTGTTGTTTACGATTTATAAGCACGTATATAGAAAGGGCGGTTCGGATAAAAGGGTTGATATCTCCCTTAAAGTGAAAAACGGGCACCAACGAATTACAGTTATCTTCATAAACAGGTCTAATAAATATTTATGCAAAGTTTCATCAAAATCGGAGTGTATCAGTCCCCGATGTCAGTCGAACTGCGCGAAACTCTCGTACTCTCTCGTGAAAAATACAATAGATGGATGCAATAATTACATTTATAGAATCATTTTTGTGAAATGCCACACTTATATTGTAATACACATTCTTCTTGTAACGACAGTGCTCTACTTTTTATTTACTTTACAATATGGAAAATACATAAGATAAATTCATGGCAAAATAATAAAAAATTTATGTCATAAAACAAAATCTATAAATCAAAATATAAATAACTTATTGTGAAACGGACAACATACATTTTAACTTAAGACCATTCGGTAAAATTACTAAAAAAAGAAAAATTATTTTTTATTGTTGTCTGCAGATCTTTTAAATGGTTTTTATATTCTATTTTTATATCCAGTTATTATATGTCTTTCCACCCCTTTTCAAGTTTGTCTTTTCATCTACTCATACTTTTATTATAAAAATGTAGAAAAAAGGTGTGGATTGTGATAGGACGGTCCCCTTGCTTTAAGGGAATTATCGATCGACTACTATAGAGGTATTAGGGTCAAGATAAGAAGGTGAGGCAAGGGGGAATTAATGATTATATTTTATAGGAATACTAGGGAAGAAGGTGGCAAATATGAACCACTTGTCTTGTTTCGAAAAGCGAAACCTTAAGTTGTATCATTATCGGAGGATGACTCGGAGGATGACTCGGAGACCACTGGAAGGGTCTTTCTGGAATGTCGCGAATTGCCTTTCCAGCTCTGTTTCTATTGGTCACGCTGGGGTCCAGGAGAAGATCAGAAACTCATGATGGATTTGAAGCACACGAGTGAGAAAGAGCAGAGAGGTCCAGGTTCAAAAAATATCTCGCTGACTCCATGTGTTTGCCAATCAGAACGCGGATGAAGTTTTTCATCCCTAATGTCCAAAGAGCAAACCCGTTGTTTTACTATCTTAATATACAGCTTTTCATTCTCATATGCTCCATTTCCTTCTAACCTCTTAGTGAACATGCGTTTTATTCTTCGCTTTGCTCTGTACGAAGAATCTGATGTGTCAGGACCTCCAACCTGGGGTTCGGAACTAGACTCTCGGGAAGGTGCCTGATATAGAATTTGTGGCGAAGGCGGAGGTTGGATAGATTCTGATCTGACCATTGTTGACACTACCCTTTGAAGATCCCTTACTGTTGAATTTACGTGTTCTATGGCGTTCTTCATCTCACGTGCCGACTTATCACTTTGCTTCTGATAAATCTCGTCCTGAATAGCCATATCCGTAGCTTTTTTATATAAGTCAAACAGAAGATAATTGGCTGGATTCGACTCGGCCATCTTCTTCCCTATTACAACGCCCTCTATGTATGCTCTGACGGCGTGGGGGCCCATCTCCACACTTTCCTTAAAACACATTAGAATTTCTTGTTTCCTTGATGTGATCCAGGTATTAATTTCAACTCGATAGCTATTCCAGAAGTCTTTCATTATGAAGTTTGGATGAGAAAGCCCTCTATTTAATATGTGGGCAACCTGTTTCTCAATAGGGCCTAATTCTTCAAGACCATAGGTGAGGTCTTGGAATAGGAGAGTTAATTGGTGGAGATGTGAATCAGGAGAAGAAGGCAGTTGGGAACGGGATTGTGGTCGGGCGGAGTCTGGCTCTATATGAATACTTGGAGGTTGGAATTTGGAAGAAAAGGAGACAGATGCTGACATCGGGGAGGTAGGTCTGACCTCGTCTTTTTCAGTCTCCTCAAACGAACTCGGGCAAGGCTCGGTCGCGCTCTCTAGAAAGGAGCCTTCTCAGGGAGGAGGCTTCTTCGGAGCCTTCGCGGAATCGGGAACTATCGCTTTCTGGCGACGATGGCGGTAAAACGCCGGGTCCAGTCCTGTCTCTGTCGAATTCCATCTCAGTTACCGATGGAGTTAGTTTCTTCTTTTGATAGTCGGACATTGCTGATGTCAATCTGTTGGATAGAATTATATGGATATATGTTTTTGCGCACTCGATTTGTGACCCGTTCGGGGGGGTTCACTCTATACACTCTATGAGAACTTTGTTAGGGAGGGTAAGGGAATCTTGTGGTTCTACCATCAAAGCAAGGACGGGAGATACTTGGGATGGGAATCTCAGTGGTGAAGAATTCCAGGATGCTCTTTGCGTTATGCGATCGGGGGAGGACTACGCGGTGGGACAGGGGATCGTCGGAGGTAGGGCAGTAAATGGGACGGTGTCGCGGCTTACAATAAATCGTACTAGTGATGGGCGATACAGTATCGATATTTGAAATATCGATTATTATATGAATATCGAAATTTTGAGTATTGCCATCGCCCCGTTTCGAGAACAAAGTCAAGCCAAATAGCATACCTGCTCCGTAATAAGCAACTGTTCGGTCCCGAGCGAGTTGCTTATTTCGAGGCAATACTGTATAGTTCGTTCAACGTAAACAAAAATTTGACGTCATTGTTTAATTTTGGCGGTAGCAACTATTGGCTATTAATCCATTCCCTCTGGACTGGAAGCCAATAGTTGCATTGACGATATATAACCGTAGTGTAAAAAGAAATATCCAATAACGAACTTTCTATAGAGTTTGCGATTGGTTGATATCTAGTTTTATTTTTAACCGACTTCGAAAAAGGAGGAAGTTACTCAATTCGATCAGTATATATTTTTTTTTCTGTGTTTGTTCACCGATTACTCCGAGATGGATGGACCAATTGGCACGAAACCTTTTGCATCTGGTAGAGTATGTCTCCCGATTGGTCCCGTTAAAAGAATATTTTGAATTTTTTCATTGTTAAGGATTATTATCGCAAAAAACAGGAAGTTTCTATTCTCAACATAGGATGATTTCAATGACCCATAATATGTTGTCGGGGGCATGATTCTGAACAACTTTTTCATTATGCATAATTAACCTAACCCTAACCCTAACCCTAACCTAGGTTAGGTTAGTCATTTTGCGTGGAAATGCGTTTTTATCAAGATAATAGGGGGTTTCCGCACTTTTAGAATACCCTGTATATCTCGAGAACGGTTTATTTGCCAGTTCTGAAAATGGTCTCATTCGATTTCTCGTCCCTCAATTACTATAAATCCGAAGTTTGGTTGTCCTGGGATGATGGGGCCTTTCGGAAGTTTCCCCAAGATAAATACGTGGATATAAACAAAATTTCCGATTGTTATCGTTTTCAAGGTCTTTTGAAGGTCATCGATGATTTTTAAATTGCACCATATAATTTTAACATCATAGGGTTGTAGCTGATATCAAGACGAGTACAACGATATGGTACACTATAACCTTCAAATGATCCTGAACTGAAGAATAGGTTCTATTCCGTCTGATCAACGATTCCAAGTCGCTGGATAGGACGTAATGGACACATACCATAGTCAGCTCGTTCACCCGATTTAACTCCTCTTGATTTTTTTTTATGGGGAACACTGAAAGATGATGTGTATCGCGATCAATCAAGTACACCAGAGAAGATGCAAGAAAGAATAATTAGATCTTGTAGATCAATTTCAACAGAAACGATTGAAGGGGCAATTAATTGCCTTGCAGGACGTTTAAATGCTTGCGTCATTGCTCAAAGTCATCATTTTGAACATTTAATTTAATTTAAATAAATTGATTGCAAAGTTTGAAGTTATCATTGCTTTATCATAAATTTCTTATTTCAAGGTCATTTGAAGGTCGTAGTGTACCACATCGTTGTACTCGTCTTGACATCAGCTACAACTCTATGATGTTAAAAATATATGGTGCAATCTAAAAATCATCGATGACCTTCAAAAGACCTTGAAAACGACAACAATCGGACATTTTTTTTTATATCCCCATATTTGCCTCCTTAAACAGTACAACTTTTTTCTCTAACATTTTCTTCTATCTTTAAACCGAACGGAGCTAATTAGGTGTTCTGTTTCTCGTGAATCACCCGGTATATATGTATTAAGGTAGGGGTGATGTAAATATAAAGTGTCAACGTGCGAAAAGTTCCACGTGCCAAGATATAGAAAATCGCGAAAACCGATTTTTTTCACCTTTTTTGGGAATTCTCTTCAAGAAGATAACGCTTAAACCATTCAAATTGAAAAAAAAAATTTAACCTAACTTCGTTCGAAGTGGGAATTATGGGAATTATCTACTTTCAGCTTAGCAGGTTAATTTAGGAACGAATAGGTAAGTTTCATTTAAATTGTTTTCAAATTTTGTATCATTAACGTAGCCTCCAACGTTTATTAAGTGTTCCATTTGAATCATTTTTATTTGTTGTTTAGAATGCTTAGAATTTCCTTTTTTACATCATAATGTAAATGTGTTGTCATAACAGACAACAAGAGATTAGGTTCCGTATTCATTTTAAATAATAACTAAAAATGTTCAACCAGTTCAATTTTTTTATTGTGCTATGCGAACGGGGCGCCGAAAGTGTTCGTACGTGACCTACGTCAAGCCTGGCTGTCGTAGCCGACACTTCCGTTCCTGAGCACGCGCGCTATACGCACTCGGATTGGTCAGTGTTTTTCGTTAATAATTCAAAAACGAAGCTTCAAACAACATTCTCGCAAAGAAAAAAGTTGTTCAGAATCACCCCAGCTACCACCCCTTCACGGGACCAACGCGAGTTCTGGGACACCCTGTATATACAGTACCCGCGCTAAAGTGTGATAGGTGTTTTATTGCGTAACTATTGATGACACAAAAAATTGTTTATATGGAAATTGCACGGTACAATGGGCCCTATGTTTTGGCAAGAACGAAAATTTATTTACATTATTAATTTAAAAGATATGATGGTCAAGTTTCGTTTTTAAAATGGAAATATATTTTTTTCTTCAGATCATGTGATAATGCTTTTCAAGACGAATTTATTAAGCACCCGATTTTAATTAATTTTCAAGATATAACGTTTACAAATTTCCCGATTTTCAGTGGTTACGTCTCGGTTTGAGTAACAAGTCGTAAAAGCGGCCCTATTGTTGCGGTTTCTTATTCTTTGGGTCTGCCGTTCCTAGCGTAGACCCCCGCTGTGGCACTTACCGCAACAATAGGGCCGCTTTTACGACTTGCCACTCAAACCGAAACGTATCTACTGAAAATCGGGTAATTTGTAAACGTATATCTTGAAAACTAATTGTGGAGCAGGAGTATGGAAGGGAGTTCCAAAACGATAACCAAACTAGTGATGCAATAAAAGGCTTTAATAATACGTTTATGTAATGAAACACAAAAATACAGCTCGCGGCACGTTGTCTCCGTTGCTGGTTAGTGCGTAGTAGACAAGAAGCGGTGGCGCCTCCGCCGCTCTCCAACCCGCATGGCGTATAGGGGAAAAACAGAATTCCCCAATACTAATTAAAATCGGGTGTATACATTAAAGCTTAATAAATTCGTCTTAAAAAGCATTATCACATGATCTGAAAAAAAATGTATACTTCCATTTAAAAAACGAAACTTGACCATCATATCTTTTAAACTAATAATGTAAATAAATTTAAATAATATACGTTCCAATAACTATACACGCGTATTTTGATCATTGGACTCCCATCCTATATCCCTTTTTGTTTGTAAGTGTACGCATGAAGGACACATTAAGGTCATATTTATTTTTTTAAATGGAATCATATAATTTTTTATGCACTATTCGGTGCATCTCGGTATTCTAAATAAAAATGTATTGACCTATTTATGTTGAAAAATCATTACTTTAGAAGATATTTAAATTTTAATATTGCGAATTATTAAGTATGAAGTGTAAAACTTGTCGCAGTGAAGTTGGCCACGCATTCACTCACCGACGCGCCGTGAATGCGTAGTGAATTTGTAGCCAACTTCACTGCGACAAGTTCAATGCAACTCACAGTACTCTCGCATAATATTCCATGAAAAGTAGGCAAACTGTCGACATGATTATGATGCTTGGAAAATGTGACAGTCAGCCGACAAGTATTGAAGATATGAAAGAGAAAATATCTAAAATCTAATGCATTCAAATGTGTCACTCTGGAAATACTTATGAATGTTCAAGCTAATATTAAGCGACGCATCCAAAATATATTGATGTGCACAGTAACGTATTCAAGCATTAGTAGACACGTATTCAATGTTTACTGCTTGACTGTTTTCAGTTTTTTTTAAATAAAATGTAAAATATAAGATGTTGCAATTCTAACATTATCTTCTACATTCTAAAAACAATAGTTTTTCGACATAAATAGGTTAATATATTTTTATTCAGAATACTGAGATGTATCGAATAGTGCATAAAAAATTATATAATTCCATTAAAAAAAGAAAAAATGACTTTCATGCGTCCTTCAAGCGTACTCTTACAAACAAAATAACAGCGCTGGATTACGTCCCCCTCGCATTTATTGATTAAAATGGGACACCGTGTATATTTTCGTATATCGTGTACAGAGGTTCTGCTACAAAGTGTACTCTAAAGCCGAGTATCCACCTGTATCAAACGCCCGTATCGTATCACCGTTCCGAACCCTTTTGAATAGGCAGACGTTGCCTCGTTGCATGCCACGGCGTGCTACGACTCGGACAATATTTCTTCGTTTCTTGAAAGAAACTCCTATAGGCGAGAAGTTTCGATTTCCTGCATGCTGTTTCTTTATTGTAATTGTCCTAACCATATCGTGTTTGGTATCATTTTAATCAGAAAAACGTCACAAATATCTTGGTAAAAGTTTTATAAGAAAAAAATGAAAAATAACAAAGTTCTGTCATTGCATTAGTATTATCTCACTGATATATCCGATTCCAGATCATATTATCTCGAGCCTCAAGTGTCATGTTTCCACTTGACATAGCATTTCGGGCCTTCGCCTGGGTATGTTGTTTTTACGTTTCAAGTGGTCTCCGAACCTATCCTTTGAACAGCAAGAAACCGACAATTTTCGGATCGGCCCGTTCCTTCACCTCCATATCATAGCCCAATAGAACTTTCGATATTCGGCAACGGAGAAATCTCTGGATAATTAACATTGTCCTTTTTCAATAATTACAGAGGTTCTTATTAACATTGCTCTTTTATGTACAGCGTATCACCGAAGATAATTGATCTGTTTAAATATATTTAGACGATAAAATTTGTCTAAATTAAATTAGATTAAGTTCATAAATAATTTCATCGATTTTGAAATGAATCCAATAATACTGCAAGATTTCAAATAAATTGAAACCCAAGTGACGGCATGAAACGCTATGTCAAGTGCAAACGCATAAACCTTTCCTTCGATGCAACGGCAAAGAATCGACAAATTTTTCGGATGGGTCCGTTGCCTCCGTTCCTTTGGAACGGCACGCAGCAAAACGAAACTCCTCGCCTGTAGTGGCCCAGTCCTATTGCCGAACCGTTTCTATCAAGAAACGAAGAAATATTGTCCGAGCCGTAGCACGCCGTGGCATGCAACGTGGCAACGTCTGCCTATTCGAAAGGGTTCGGAACGGTGATACGATACGGGCGTTTGATTCAGGTGGATACTCGGCTTAAGAAGGCTAGCAATCGAATGTCAAAACAAACGTTGGGAGAGAGGTTGGTCCCAAGAGCCTCGGAAATGTTAGGCCCTTCAGGGCCGTGACTAATCGGGTAGTTTTCCACCCGTCACGTACGCCCAACTATGCCTGAAGTTGGCCTGAGCGTTGGGGTATCCAACAATTTTAAATAATCCTCGTAATGGATACACGTCCAAAAAAATTAAAATATTAAATATAATAATATGTTTATCATATATAAAACAAATATTTGAATAAATAGTCTATTTTTTACTGAACTTCACTTGTAATTTAATTGTACGTATTGATATCAATAATATCGATACTTTATTTCCAATTGATGTACATCTATCAATACCAAATATCGATACAATTCAGGGTAATTATTGAGATTAGGTTACACCTCATCGATTTTGATGAAATTTAAATATATTGTAAAACTCAACATTTTGAACAACTTTTTCTTATACATATAACCGCCGCTTAGCCTTACAAGGAGAACTACCCAAGTGTTACACTCACTTATTAATGAAACTTTGCCAGCTTGTAGAGCGCGTCGAGCTGAACACGCCTATACTCCGTTTTGTGGGCAGACGACTAATTGTTTAAAAGATATTAATAATTAAAGTTAGTTACTACTTACATTGAGAAAAAAAAAAACGGGAACCCAAGATTTGAACCGGGGACCTTTAGATTACGAGTCATGTGTTTAACCACGGAGCAGATCCGTGACTTACAACTTGAAGGTTCTCGGTTCAAATCCTTGGTTCCTAAACAAATTTTTTTTTTTATATATAATAATTTTTATGTAGTAGTTATTCAAAAAGAGACAAATTATCATTAAAAAAAAAGAAAATGTTGGGAACCACGGATTTGAACCGTGGATCTCTAGATTGCGAGTTGTATGTGTCTGTCGTACTTCTCAATGTAAGTAGTAACTAACTTTAATTATTAATATCTTTTAAACACTATCTTTTAAACATTATCTTTTTACAAACGAATGGGTAAGTTTCATTGAAATTGTTTTAAAATTTGTATTCATTATTTCATTTCAAACATTTTTATTTTTTATTTAGAATGTTTAAAATTTCCTTTTTTACATAATAACAGGCGACAAGAGATTAGATTCCGTATTCCTTTTCAACAACAACAAAAAATGTTTAACTACTTCAATATTTTTATTGTGCTATGCTAACGAGGCGCCGAGCCGTTTGTTCGCGACCTACGTCAAGCCCCGCTGTCGTAGCCGACGCTGCCGTCCCTGAGCCCGCGCGCTATACGCGCTCGGATTGGTCAGTGTTTTTGCTTAATAATTCAAAAAGGAAGCTTCAAACCACTTTTTCGCAAAGGAAAAAGTTGTTCAGAATCACCCCACCTACCACCACCTGAGAGGGTGAAAATGCGTTACGGGACACCCTGTATAAGAAAAAGTTGTTCAAAATGTCTAATTTTACAACATATTTAAATTTCATCAAAATCGGTGAGGTGTAACCTAATCTCAATAATTACCCAATTCAGAAATATGCCCATCACTAAACCGTACGCGGAACGTACCTGTTACTATATCCAGATTTTACAATGTTAATAACAATAGGAGACTCACCGATCGTCGACGATCGCTCCTGTAAGTACACGCACACTCAACGCTTTTGATACCCTCGCTCTGTATGCCCTCTCAATACAAAAATGGTAATGATCGTCGCCGTCGTCGCGACGGCCAGCTTCACACACGAGGGTTTTGGGGAGAGGGTACGGTTCAGGGATTGGGTCGTAAGTTCGGGTCAGGGATTTAATTGGCTGGTGGGTCTAGGACCTAGACTCTAGGTTGACGGGTGATTGGCTGGGGGGATCGAAGTCGATCGAGGGAGACGATCGGCGACGTTCCTTCTGGTGAGAACTTTCTTGCCGGCGTGGAGATGGCACCACCGGGGCTTCTTCGGGTCAGCCCTTAGGGTAATAAATAAGTTTTTTGTTTCCAATGATATGTTTCTATAGAATTAGGTTTAATTGTGACGTCTAAGGAGTACACGCAAGGTTTACTTGTAATTGTTACATGCTTTAATTATTATATAGTATTACTATCAGCTGTAAGATGAAAATGTAATAACTCCAATAGGTCTAAAGAAGCCTAGGGAGATTTTCTTTAAATAAAAAGAAACTTGTTCGGGCCGTTTGGTGCTGGCTGTAGAACGTTCTTCCCGAGATTGCACCTGGATGAGTTTTTGGCGTCCTTTGAAGACTGGATCTCCTTTTCGTGCGGTGCGGGGTCGCTGGGCTGAATTCTGCCGTGGCTGGGTCCCTCTTTTCGACTTTCTCGAGCTCGGGGTAGAAAGCTTTCAGGATGATATGGCGTGGGTGGAAGAGAGGGGGAGTTTGTGAATGCGGGGCGCATTTAGTTCGGGTAGAGCCAGGCGACCTCGGCGATGTAACGGGGGGGGGGGGGGGGGGGGGGGGTAATCGTGTCACCATGTTACAATACTTACTTATTTGGTTCAGTTTAATAATTAAAAAACTATTCTAAATTAATAATAAGAATATCTGCAATATTAATGAAAAATTACCTATTATAATGCTTAAAGTGCCTATTCTTTCGTCCTGATCATTTATTATTTTTTAAATCACTCATTGTGAAAAAAGTATTTATACTCACAAATGTACATGACAATTTGAAAAATTATTGCTCTGTTTCATTTTTGTTTTTCAATAGAAAATTCAAATTTACATGTGAACTGCAAAATTCCACTTGCAAATCCACATTTGCATTCTGTATTTCATTTTGCAAATGTTTAATAAATATTGTTAGCTCATTTTACTAAAATGGTTTATCAGATTGGTTTAACACCCTTAATAGATATTCCTGAAATGCTGAAAATTTAATTTTGAAAATTTCTTTAGAAATTTTTTTACAACATGGAAAAGGAAATTTGTGTTGCATAAATTGCATGATATTACAAATTTCGTCCTTCGTCCTTTAAATTTAAATTTAATGTATTATAAGTGTGTTAAAAATGACAATCCGTATACGCATTCTGTTTTGTTCTGCAATTCTAATTCTAAAAATGTAATCAGAATCTTTTTAAGCATAAAAAAGCTTTGTAAGCTGTTTACAGCACTCAGCAAACGCATTTCTGTGTACATCAGCAAAGTATTATGTATATGAAGTGTTTCGAGACTTAAGGGATGATTTTAATATCCGGTGATTAAGCGACCTTTTTCCACCTTGCAAAGAATTGATTACCTTTGTAACTACTTCCATTACTCAGTATACATTTAAAATTTAGTGGCTATTATAAATTTAAATACAGAAAGCAAACGTGAATTTTCAAGTAAAGTTGTGCAATTTATGTGCAAATCGATATTTTCTGTTAAGGAAGTTTTATAGGAGTCGTCGAAGTTAAAAATGATATAAATTCAGATATCTGTGAAATATACAGCTCACCGACACGCAGGAAAGCCAAGTTCTCAGCTATTTTTACAGCTGAGTACAATTCTTTTTTTTTCATTGATTTCTTTTAGTTAAAAAGTAAAAATTTTCATTGATAATAACAAAACTATGGTTGTTACTTTTAAAAATGGAATACTAAAAATTATACTTTGCTTGAAAAATTGAAATGTATTTCAAATTAAATCTTTATGATGAATAGACTTAACAAAGAAATAATTATTAATTATTTAAATGCTAAAATATATAAATAAATATGGACTTAGCCCTCTAACCATTAGAAAAAATTTGTAAAAAAATTTTCTACAAAAACATACTTTTTATAAGGTTTGGAAGCCAAATTGTCAAACCAAGCTTTGTACAACGTAGTATAATTATACAAAGAATATTAAAAAAAAAAGAATCATGAAAAAATATTTGAACTATGAAATCGCTATTCATAGGGCCCTTTATACATATCAGTATGGCTGTTATGCAGGGGAAACAAGGATTGTCCGCAGCTTCTCAGTTTCACCGCGTGAGGTCCCCAAGATCAATTTAGATTCGCGCCGTTGAGGAGGTTATTTGGGAGTATTTTTCACAATACAATACATATGTCAAAGTCAAAATCATTGAAGGTGGCTACTCCAAACAGCATTTTTAACAAAATAATTTTTCAAATTACCTTAGTGCAATGCTTTCCAAAGTCCCTTGTGAGCATTAAAACATATCATAGGGAACGGTAGCGGCCACACGTAAAATAGGAAGTGGATTTGTCTTTCTTTTTATTTATTTAAAAAAAGGTCGATTTTTGGGGGATGCTAAATAAAACATAGCTAATAACTTTAGGAACTTCTGCCTCAGTGTTTTTAAAAAAACCTTACTTACCGACCTTACCGACCTTACCGACCATACCGATACCGTAAGATTATCGAAGTCAAGCTATGTTGTGCACGATCTGCTCGTGGATAAATGGCCGTGTGCTATTAGCACACAAAGAGAAATAATGATCCTAAAAGGCATAAAGGTCGGCAAAACAATGACTATAATTTGTTGGGCAATATCGTCTGAATATCATCCTTCAGGAAAACTTAATACAAATACAAATATAAAATAACAATCTATTCAATGCCATGCACAGACCAAACCTGTATGAGGAAAAAGGACATAGAGAAGGGGAAGCCCGTTACTTCGGTGACCATCACTTCCATAAAAGAATTAATAGCGTAAACGTAAAAACACGGAATTTCTTGTGAAGGAAAACCAAACCTCGGGAATAGGTAGAGGAAGTAAAAAAGCTATCCTTCATTAGACACAACAAAAATGCTTCGAGAGAAAACAGTGACAATGCTGAACGTGGTCATTTGTTCTCTGTATCCATAGAAGGGTAGGTTAGGTATTCAGAATGTCAAGATCAGACCCACTGTGCATATGTTCAAGAAAAGAAATGGGGTGAAGATGTTGGTTATGTGTGGACCTTTACATAGAATGAGAAGCATTGTCATTGTTTCCAAAATTATTTCTTTTTATCTTCTATGCTCAACTTATGAAAATTTTATTTTGGTAGACGAATACTAACACCATATTTAGTATTATTTGTAAATATATCTGGAGCTTGGTGCAAGAAATATTATGCCATATTTTTGCAAAAATAAATTTAACCTGATAATTAACGATAATTTCAAATTGTATCTAAAAATTACTATAATGGCATTTGTACATGCCAATGTTAAAATTTTTCATAAAATGAGCTTATTTAATAAATTCATGTATTTTTGTAAAAAAACATAAATAGCACAAGCTTCAATTCTTTCTTCTTGTATTAGAAAATAAATTTAAAGCTGTAGAATCTTCTGTCAGAAATTATTTGAACATAAATTTTTTAATATCCCAATTTTATAAATACTGACATTGGTACTTCTTATACCAAGCTATACAATTATCAATAAGTATATGTATTCTGCAGTAATTTTTTCTTAGTACAAAGATCCAAAAAATTTCAATTGATCTTTCTCTTGTCTCTTCTTACAAACGACCAAACAAATCAGAAATACTGTTTGTAACTAAAGCGAATTACATTACGGAACTGACAGCTCATCGCTACGCTATGTGTACCGTTATCGGTGCACGACTTAAAAAGAATTGCGAACATCAAAGAGCATGAAATAGTGGTACCACCAATTGTATTATTACACCTTATTTGTCAATGTTAAAACCATCACTTGGCCTTAAAATGAAGTTTAGAGTATGCTTAAATCCATATCATCGATTTGAAAAAATAGTGACATAACTCATAAATCATTAATTCTGAGATACCTGAGAAAATAAATTTTAAAAGTAGGCTTCTTTTATCTGGAAGAGTGTCATTAACATTAACAAACAAAATGATAAAAATCAATAAATATATATATATAATATTAATTAATTATCTTTTATTTAACAAACAAGATAATAAAAAATAAATAAATATATATATATATATTAGTTATCTTTTATTTATTTTTTATTATTTTATTTGTTAACTTACATTTTAATTTAAAAAAACAAGGCTAAAGATCCTTAGTTAAAGTACACAAACAAAAAACATATATTCACTGAAAAATAATGAAGTAGTAAACACGTTACTGAAAAAATAAAATTCAGACCGCGTTTCTGGAAATTGAGTTATTTGATTTATGTCACTCTTCTTATAAAGCGACAATACAAGTACGTACGTTTACGATTACGAAATTACTTCCCGGGGAAAATGGGGATATCCCTGGTTTCCACCCTTCCTCTTAAGCAGTCCCGAGGAGAATATTCAAAAATGTCAGAATCCCAAAATTGCCAAATTTTTTAATTTCAGATTTCCCACGCTTCAAAATTTAAAAACTCGACACTTTCAGATTTCCTGCACTTCAGAATTCAAAAATTTCAAAATTACAGATTTTCAGAATTCCGAGATTCTGAAATTCCAAATTTCTTACATTTAAAAAATTTTTAAATTACAGATATTTAAAATTTCAAAATTTTTAAATTACAAAATTTGAAGATTTTAATATTCTAAAATTGCAGAATTATAAATTTCCAGATTTCCAAAATTCTAAAATTTCTAAATTTCTAAGAGACCTAGTTTACTTCAAAAAACGGTCCATGTTACGGCTATATCTGCAAAATATCGTACTCTAAAAAATTCTTTCAATTTTTACAAGAAAAAAGAAATAATAATCGCCCAGAATTAAGACGGAACCATAGGCAGTTGAAAAAATTTCTGAGAAAACGACACTTCCCAGAAAACGATGATCTGAAGAACGACATGCCACAATGATTATGTGAAATCGCGACAAAAGTGTATGACAAAGGTATATAAAAACTTGTCTCATAAATACAGGCGGCGATTAAATTGAAAATTAATATAGCATGTATAAAAATTAATTGAACTTGATTTAATTTTTATTTGATTAAATTTCATTAACGACGAAATAAATTGTTAATTTGTTCATAACTGAATAAAATTAACAAGAGGAACTTAATTTTACAAAAATTAAAAATCATTTCATTAAATTTTCAATCAGTTTCCATACTAATATAACAAATAAATAAAAAAAATTTTTAAATTACATTTGTATTTTATTTTAATTAGAGTTTAAAAACATCAAAGATTATTAGCGATTATCCAGTTACAAGGATACTTCATAGCTGTTGGGTCATCAATTTTAATATAGCTTTTTCTGGTGAATCTTGATGAAAAATAAGTTGACTCATATCCGACCGTTTTTGTCAATACTCAATATTTAAGGTCATAGATATAGATATTTAAAGAAAAGGATATAAGAATGTATAAACATATCCATTGAAAAAAAAATCTAGAGAAAAAATGAACTCACCCTCGACGGGATTTGAACTCGCGATAGCGTAGTTCAACGAAAGCGTTGAAAGTTGGTTTACTAATTTAATATTTCAGGAAATTAGAGAATTAAAATATAAAATATCTTCTTAAATATAGAGT